TTTAATGTAGCGTCATCTGAACTAAGCCAAGGCAGGACCGCTGTCATTTGTCCAGTTCCAAAATATTTCCGCGCCATTTTAGACGAGAGCCGTCGGTTCCGAAGAACACGCACAGTGTTCACACGTGAACAGCTCAAGGCTATGGAGGAGCGGTTTCATCAGGAGAAATATCTCTCGACTCACGGTAGGAACGAATTTGCTCATCAGCTGAAACTGACGCCTCTGCAAGTCAAGACCTGGTTCCAGAATCGTCGAATGAAATGGAAGAAAGAAATGTTGAAGAAAGATCCAAACGCAGTCACTACACGATCGAAAGGCCGCCCGAAAAAGGACGAGTTTTGATGCAGTGGTACAATGGAAAACACAAGGATTTTGAGGAAGGATAACTATTAAAGTTGTCGTTCAAGAGAATAAAATTGTACAATGTCCGTCCTCGTTACTGCTTGCCCTCTAAAGTCGACAGTCCAGAGAAAATTTGATTTTTAGTGAAAATTTTGCTTTGGGAACTTCGACGTGTTGGGTTCTTTGGTCGCTTAGTGTTGAGTTATGTACGTTTACCAGAAAAAGTCCTTCTTTGAGATAAACCATCGACAAACCGTCGACAAATATAAGCAAAATTAATACTTCAATCGAGAAACAGTCTTTAAATCTTTTTAGTTTTTTTATTTTAATATGTAACAAATATCTCCCCTTAAAAAAAAAAAAACTGTACATTTTCCAAGTAGATAACTGAAGTTATGTAGATTTATACAGACTTTTGTGATCATTATTCAAGCTTCCCTACGAGCGCAATTGCTTTTGGAAGTAGTTCACTTGTTTAGTAACTTTGTGATAATTTATGATACAAATCAGTAGTGTTCGTGTGTGAAAATAAAAAAGTCAGCCGAGAACATAAAAGCTTGAATTACCAAACTGTATTTAATGGCATGTTTCAGCACAAAGATCAATTTCCTCCTCTTCCAGTATTTGCCATTGCAAGCTCGAACAGAAGAGTGTGTTAGAAATGTGAATGTTACAATATTTTTTGTTTTTTTCCTGGGCTATGGACCTTCCTCGGTAGACTCTTGAATCTCCGCGGACTTCGTTTCTTCTTTTGATTTCACTGCAAGTGAAGAACTTAATTTCAAATTTTTATTCAATGAATGTCTATCGACTTTCGATTGCGTTGTAGAAAGCTACGTCACGTACATAAATCAATCAGAGCACGTCAAGACGTGATACGTCGATAGGGGGAATTCGGGCGGGGAGGGTAGGGGACAATAGGTTGCCTTGTCAAGCTAGGAACCTCGCTATGGGAATCAAGAATCCTGTTCGACTTTCTCCATAGGGTGTTTTGATCAGAAGAATTTTTGTTTCAATCAAGCGTTTTGCGAAAGATCCTACAGATTCTTTTGCATAAGATGTTTCTCCTAGGGGCTGAGAAATCGCTTTTTATTTTGTAGCCTCTCCTGAACTGCTACTATCCTCATCTAGTCTACTCAAAGAGCAATGTCTACTTCTGAGTTCATTTTTCCTTTTTTTTTTTTCATTTTTCCATTTACGACGTAAGATGTAAAAGATGGATCTGGAAAAGACGTATACCCTGTGATGTATACATGGAGTACATGTAAACACGCTGCGGGGACTATTGTGTGCGGGGACTAAATTCGGGTATGTGCAAATGGATCAATATTGGCGGGCCACACACAAAATTCCCACGCAGAAATTCAAAGGAAAAACATAACGTGCATAAAAATGTGTAAAAAGGAAAAAAACAAAGGAAAAGAAACTCGAAGTCCACTTACATTTGCCATATTTTTTGCGTTTGTTCCTGAAACGTATACATTTGTTCAGGACTCCCTTGTTTTTCGTCACCAGACAAATGACGTCAATGATAAGCAGAAACAATGCAATGGCTATAGACAGGATTATTACTGATAAGACCAGTTTGTCTGTGAATTAAACAGGGAATAATAAAGAAGATAAGTGCGTCTGAGAATAAAGGAAAATGAAGATGATGTTTGGCATGCAGGACACGCGCTGGTCTAATGGATAGCACGCTGGACAGAATGCTGGGATGTTTCGCGGGCGCAGGCCCTAGCGACCTGGGGGTGTAACTCTTTTGTGTTCTTGGGTGAGACATTCTACTCCCACAATGCCTTTCTCCACCCTATATTATCTTGATAATGGGTGGGGACAACCAGTCAGGAAAGCTTAACCAAATAAAAGAACAAGCTTCTTAACCAGGAGACGAGAAAATACTTCTAATCTTTAGCTGTCGCGCTCATGCTGAGGGACATTATTCATTAAAATAAAAATTATGAGCTTTAGTGAAAAAGTAAACGGCACATGGTAAATACTGAGATTCACAGGGGATCAACTAGCGTGGAAAATCTCTTTCGTTTTTAAATTTTACGTTTCTAACTTTCTTTCTCCACCCTTTATATTCTTTTCGTATTGTCGGCGGCGCGCGTGATTTCACAAATTACCCAATCACGTCAAATAATGGGCCATTTTACAGTTCTGCGCTTGGTTGCCGTGCCTTTGATTTGAAGTGAGGCTATAGGTGGCCTTGTTGTAATAGAGACCTACGGAAGCCGAAAAGGGACAATCCAAAAATATTTTTCAAATCCCGAAAAATATTTCAAATCGCAATATTTATTGTAAACTCACTGTCGAAAAGTTTGAAAAATCTAAAGATATTTTGCAAATCCAAAAAAATATTTAGAAATCCAAAAACATTTTTTCAAAATCCGAAAATATTTTGCGAATCCAAGAAAATATTTTGAAATCCAAAATAATTTTTTCAAAATCCGAAAATATTTTGCAAATCCAAAAAAATATTTTGTCACGCGCTATTTGCGCCAGCAGTCACCCAGCGTTTTCTTGCCACATCCCGCATCATCCCGCATACAAAATGACGAAGGCATGAGGATAGAACATGTTCTGTCATAAATGTGGAAGAGAATGTGGGAACAATGAAACATTCTGCCGTTGTTGTGGAACACTAAAATGGCGTGAAGAGGAAAGTGTGTTGTCCAGCTCGGGAGACGACAGATTGGCTATAGAACATTACTTTAATAGGGGATTTCGTTATGAGACCATTGTTCACTTTCTGGCAGAATACCATGGGATTTCAATGAACGTGAGGACTTTGAAGAGAAGGTTACGTCACTATGGGTTACAAACAAACCACCTTCATTCAGAACACACTGTTCGGGAAATAGTTAGACAAGAAATTGGTGTAAAATGGGGTTGAAAGGCCTACGCGACTCCCCAGCGCGTGTTTAGATTAGCCTATTCAAAGTTTGGCTCCATTGAGTATGTCTTTGGGCGACCGTCCTCTTTTGTAAGATACGAGAAACGGATTTTTGTATATTTCGTTGAGTAGTGGTTGTGTTTCTATTAAATACCAGTGTCTCATGAGAATTTGCTTTAGGTTTGGCACTGATGGTTGGTATTGTGTAACACAAAAGGCAAGATTCGTTGGTTTGTCTTTTGTTTCTGTTGA